TAGGGAATAAGAGATGAGAAAGTGATGCCATCTGCAGTTTTTATCAAGAACTCTAGATTTGTAACACATTCATTGCTGTTCTTAGGTATTAATACCAGACCTTGGCATTTTTAAAAATATAAGATTACAGCTCCCAGAATGCCATCGTCACTATTATCCAACCACTGATAGATACTTGCCTATGAACAGAACTGTCTAGGTTCTAGCCTCTTTCCAAATGGACCACTATTGTACATTGTAGTCTGAACACAAATTATTGAGTATTTTGAAACATTATTTTAAAACTACAAGTACCAGATTCCCCTAGCCTGCCTGGGCTTACTGATACTTGGTATTTGATTCCTGAAAATACCAGTGGCTCATAGCCTGTGTGGAGTATGTGTATGTATGTGGCATACCCTGGCATTTGGGGGTGAGTGGCCCACTACCATTAGCAGTACAAGTGACCCCTCAAGGCAAGTTAACAGTAGGTACAATTATCCCGTGTTTGTGTGTTTTACTTATCACTGATGGGGATTAGACTAAATGATCAATAAGCAAAGGCTAGAAAAGTCATTTCAAAAAGAATAAATGAAGTGACCTGCTGAAGTCATCCATAATCAAGCAGTCGCCAGATAATGCTTTGGGACCAAAAACATCATCCTACTACAACTTGGTTATGGATGGCTTCAGCAGGCCATTGCATTCAATCTTCTTAAAAGAATTTCCTCAAACTATTGTCAACACTAGCATGTTCTGATTTTTTCTTAACATATTATCTAGGAAAGTTTGAATTTGTGCTTTTTTTCTCATCTATGTTTATGTCTATATCTGCATGTATTTTTTGTTGTGTGCTTTCAAATTGTTTCTGATTTATGGTGACCCTAAGATGACTCTATCATGGGGTTTTCTGAAGCTGGGAGTGTTTGACTTGACCAGTGGGCTTTACCCAATGGGCTTTTATTGCTGATCAGGGATTCATAGTCCAACACTCAAACTACTACATCATACTAGCTCTTATCTATATGTATATACCAATATCTATATCCATTTGTTGTGTGTCTTTAAATAATTTCTGACTTACGGTGCCCCTAAGGTGAATGTATCACAGGGTTTTCTAGGCAAAATTTGTGCAGAGGGGGTTTGCCATTGCCTCCTTCAAAGCCTTAGAGCACAGGTAGGCAACCTAAGGCCTGGGGGCTGGATGCGGCCCCCCGAGGCCCTTTGACCGGCCCCAGGCCGGTCCTAACACCGCCGCACCCGGCATGATGATATTAATTATTGTTGTTATTACTTGTGCTTGGGGTTTTCTTGGCAAAATCTCCACAGGGGTTTTGCTAAGGCTTTTCTGGGGCTGAGAGAGTGTGCATGCATATATTTTTAATTTTTTAAAATATTTCTATTTATTTATTTATTTATTTATTTATGGTACTTTGGCCCCCCAATTGTCTGAGGGACAGCAACCCAGCCCCCGGCTCAAAAAGGTGGCCTACCCCTGGCTTAGAGAATGTGACTTACCCATGATTACTCAGAGGGCTTTCATGGCTGAGAAAGGATTAAAACATTGATCTCTCAGAGTCCCAGTCTAACATTCAAACCACTCTACACTGCTGTCTCTCTCATTCTTTGTCTTTATCTACCCCTAGTTCTTTGCCTCCAAAGAAATGGGTGAAATTCTGAATTGGCCAGATCTACCACAGAATAAAGGCTGGAATCCTGTTGCTGCTCTTTGTCCCTGTAACATTCCATTGCCCTAGTATAGTGCAATTTTTAATGGTTGTATAGCAGCTGCAGGAGGAGGAAAGACTATCCGTGTGGACTTATTTCACCACTCTCACACTGTTGTACCACCTCTGCTTCCACTATTGAAAAGACAAAACCCAGGGGAAATCTATATGTATATTTTGTATATATGTATGACAAGGATTTTGGCCCAATGTTAGGAAATTATTCTGCTTTTTGCTCCCCTCCTTTTTTTTTTTAATTAAGAGAGCAAAGCAGCTAATTTACAATATTCCTGAGTAGACCATTGACCGTGGAATGTCAGGGGCTAGCTTTATTTTACTTTGTACATGGGACATGAATGTGCAATTTCCCAATGAGATGATATTTTCTGTAAGAAATCATTCCATGCTTTCACCAAAGGGGCATTCAAATGTTATTGTTGTTATTTTTGAAAGCATATTAAATATAAATAATTGTGATTGATAGTGAAAGATAGGTTGATTCTGACATATGACTGCCTTTACAAAGGTTGTTGGCTGCATTAATTAAATAGTCTAGGGCTGAGTTGCTGATTCAGGAAAATAAATAGCACCTGATGTTAGAATTGGCTTCAGTCCATCATGTTTATAGCTGGATCCAAATATCATCATAGTACAAGGGTCCAAGCTTTTCAACTAGTCGCACGTCAAATTTTTAAAAAATTAGAATATGACCTTAGAATTAAACAAGTTATTTACTTCCTATTGACGGTAACCTCTCTGATCAATGCTGCCTGGTAGCCATAGATTTTCAGATAATAGTTCAATAATTTTTTTACAAGAGCTATATCAATGCAATAGCTATATCAATATTTTTTAGATATTTGGAGACAAACAAAAACATTCAAAGAGAGAGGGTAAAGAAATGGCATCCTGAGTCACCACTATCCCCTGCTGCCAAAGACCCCCTGATCCCTTGCACCCACACAAAGATAATGGTTAGTTGTCACTTTAGGAATAATCGACCAATTTAAAACACCCCCAATGTCCTTGAAGATAACTGGCTGAAATGACTATCAGTGGAAAGTGAAAGATACTTCGTTTTGTTTTTGAACAGTATCTTGTTGGTGAGGAGGCTGGTGGATGCCTACTGAGGAGTGAATTTTACCCTTGCACTCTCTACATTTATTTATCCTTGGTGTAATGTAAGAGATTTACACCTAGACCTCCATTTAAACCAGGAT